ACAGAACATTTCACTCAAAACAAATGAATAAATACAGCATACGGTCAAAAACTGCAATGTAATTAATCAAACAACCGAAGCGCGCGGTACCTCCCCTCCGGCTGGCAACTTGTGTTAGTGTGCGTTGACAGTTTGCACGGAATACACCTGCAGTTATTACGTTTGTGCGATACCTACGTTGAATGACCTTTACCTTTGAAAGCTGATTGAATTGAAAATTTTAAAAGTTTAATTTTCTGGTAGAAAAATCCAATGATTTTAGACTCAGAATGATGGCCTGAATACACTATTTCAGTGTTCGTAACGATGCCTCTTACACCGTGTATACTCGTAGTTCTACAACTGGGCATCTATTTAGTTGTTACTAGTCAAATGATTATAGTAGTTTGTATTGTTAATGCTTTTAATAACAGAGAGTAAAGAGCAGTAGCTTAGTTATATATGGACCGCTATCACTAGACTATTTAAGATTCTAAGGAGAACCGCTGGGAAAACCAGAGCCATGATTGAATAATACTAGATAATGTTGTGTTTTTTTTATGTGGAAAGGGTCGAAAGAGTATTTAAATAATATAAGGCCAACTAACTATATACATATATTCCAAAACATCTATTCTGAGTCCGATCACCCGTTTTAATTAACCAATTTACTTAGCCATCTAACTTTTGAGATCATCTCATTTTTTCCCCTCCTAAAGTCAAAGTTTATCTTTTGCTGTACATTTCTTTGTTTTATATCTTGCTTTCCATATATTTGAGATTTAAATTGGTATACGTGATTCGTCTCGTTGCAAAAATTCTTTTTTTAAACTTTTGTCAACCTATCTTGGTTAAATTGGACGAAAGCTAGGTGCTCTAGCAACATTTCAATTAGCCGGAGACGTAGATTCCATCTTATTTTATGGGCCTCTTAATAACTTTCACAATTCATACCATATAATATCATGCATTTAACACCAGAGCAAATAGGTACATCAACAGAAACATAATGAGCCGCTAAAATGTTTCGTGAAGTAGCAAAACACAATATACCAGATTATTATCTTTATATTAATCGCAGTCAAATTAATGCCGTCACAGTTTAGGTGAGTCAGCAAACTGTTCTTATTATTATAGTTTCTTTAAGACTTACATCTTTAAAAATCTTAAAAAAAAAGTATAATAACGTCAATGAGTCCGTGATAAACTGTGAGTGATAAAACAATAATTATTTAAATTGGTTCACAAATGGCGAACACATCACGCTACATAAACACAAAAAGGAAAATTCAGCTGAATTTAAAACCTGCTCTCTTTTTATGTCAAAATAAGATTTAACAAGATTAATCTAACATTCATGTATCTACTTATATTGAACTCGTATTTTTCAAACTCAAGTTGAAAAACTTTTGTAAGTTTAACACCAATCTATGGCACATATGGCATACTATTTGTTAGTGGTCTGATTTCCATGTAAACATATTTTTTGAATACTTATAAGAATATCTATCACGTTATAATAAAACGTTGTGTCTAACGTTAAATACGAGTACGTTATGCCAAAATCTGCAATGGCGTTTTGAAGATTTATTTATGTCACAGGTTTTTTAGGTTCACATATGTTTAGTTATTATTTACTTTTTAATAATAATATGGAGTAATATTATTAAGAAAAGGTTGATTAAAAATATATAGTTTTTTTAAACAATGCGTGGCTATTCAGTATATTATCAATTCGAATTCAACTAAATAATTGGTAGTTGCACCGATAAAATGCACATGCATATTAAACTTCTCAACATCAATCAATAGGCCGCTATCCGCTAGGCATTATTACCTTTGGGAGTTGGGTCGGAGTCCTGAGACTCGAGACATCGAGGACCAGAAATACCAACTCCACCGGGTCCTCGTGGAGGAGTGGAAGGAACGACTTGGGCAACCGAGCGCCTGGCACGCCGTTATCGCGGCGGTAAGACCCGTTATGGAAGATTTGCTTGAGAGGCATCACGGGACCATCTCATACCAGCTGACGCAGGTGATCAACGGGAAAGAATGCTTCGGGGATCACCTGTGTCTGATCCGCAAGGAGCCAACGCCTGAGTGCCACCCCCGCGATGGCCGGACCGTGGACACGGCGCTCCAAAGGCTGGCAGAATGCCCGGTGTGGGTGGAGCAGAGGCGTGACCTCGTGGCGGCCATCAGAGTAGCCATGGTGTGGAGCGAGAGTGCGTGGAACTCTACCGTCTCCTTCTGCGTGCAAGTTATGCTTATGAAGGAGCTGGCGGAGCGGGACCTGTGGGTACATCACATCATCATCACACATAAACAGCCTTTAATAGTCCATAACCGGACATAGGGCTCTCCTTACAAAGGTTTTGGCCTATTATACCACGCTGGCCAGAAGGGTGGGTAGAGGATTTATGTCAAGTTTTTCTTCTCTTTGCAGTGCTGTTGTCCTGTGTAGTTTGCTCCGTTAGTCGGTTCTTACGACACCCACGGGATGAATACGGGTGGGTGCACTCCGTATTCTTAATCCGTCACCACACGGGTACAGGAACTGATGTGAAAAATATTCCAGGATATTGTACAGTGATATTATTACTATTAAAGTTTGTTTAGGACACAGTTCGGGTTACGTGAAAACAGGTCGTAGCTTTTTTTTATGACATAAGGTCGCAGACGAGCATATGTGTCACCTGGGCCTCATTCTGTTTTTTTTTTTTTAAATATAGTATCAACTGAACCTATTGTTACTGATACTGTTTTCGTTAGCACTGCAGAGAGAAGGAAAACTTGACACAAACCCTATACCAATCCGTCAGGGCAGCGTCGTATAGTAGGCCAAAACCTCCTTTCTAAGGAGAGGCCTATGTCCAGCAGTGGACTATTAAAGGCCGTTGATGATGATGATGACTATTCTGATGAAATTCCATCAACGGTGATGGAATTTCATCAGAATAGTTTTGTACTTTTCGTATTCTACTAACTATGTAAGACCAATGGCCTCCCGATGACTTGTCACTGAACTGACATTGATACAAATGTCGTCGATGTCTTTCCAATAGTTTGGTGTATGGTACTATTTAATTTTCTCGATATGGCAATATTGTTGATATCACCATTGATAAGCGATTGTCACTACATCGATAGTCTATTGGCACTGTGAATTTATGTTAGTAGAATACCGATATTTTAATCGATGTCAATCTCAATAGGGTTTCAAAGGAATGACAGTGGCTTTTACGTTAACATAAAATAGCAGAATTGAGGCCCTGATAGTAAGTAACAACTGTCACGAGTCACTGAATCACAAGTAGGTTGCCGCCGTTTGAGTACCTGCTCCTAGAATAGGGTAGATTAGGTTTAAAATAAGTTATTGCATCATTAAATATAACATCTTAAAGTAAAGCCTGTTTTTTTTTTTCTTAAAAAGACAAGTCCCGCACTAGGAATAAATCCTGTGTCGCGGGGGACTTTACAAACATACATGAAACGGACACAAAGTACACCCAGACTCAGAACAACAATTTGTGGATCACACAAAGTGTTGTTTCATGTGGGGTTTGAACCCACAACACTCGGCGCAATAGGAAGCGGCGTGGCGACCGCTTAAACCACTACGCTGTCCGTGCAGTCAAAATAGTCCTCCATTATCAATTAGATCTTTTTATTGATTTGACACTGCTTAAGACCGTTGTTATATGAGGACCAGGTATCACTACGGTGGCTCTTTCAGGGCAAGTTTCACTCAAGTCCGTGAAACCAATAGGTGGTGGAGAGTTTAATCAAACATTGCCGAGCAACGCACGGTATAATAACTTCTTTGTTTCATCATGTCGGTACTATCTGCGATGATCGCCCCACGTAATCACCAAGTCATGGCAGATTTCTCGCTGCTAAATGACGGCTGCTGATTCTATTGTGGGACAAGTTGTAGATTACAGCGTATTTTCTTTAGTCCATGTTAAAGAGCTGAAGTAAACAATTTATATGAAATTAAGTTTACAATTCTTTTGATTGTAACTGATATGGTTTCTTGGTTGGAGAAAGTTATTTAGTCAGCCAGCCTACCATGGTTATGCAAAAATATCGATTAAAGTTTTTGACCGGGTTTGTAACTAAAAAAAATTAACAAAAAGTGTAAGTTTAATGAATTACTTATCAGTTTAATATTCAAGGATCTATGTAATTTTTGTAAATTGAAATTTGTAAATGTATGAAATTCATTTTTGTTTTAAAAACATTTTTATTTGTCAGAAAGTGTTTGCTTAGAGTATAAAACGGATAAAACAAGATTTTTTTTTAAAATTCAAACGTTGTAATACTGCTTTAGGTAAAGCGGTATTACAACGTTCGAATTTACATGTATAATATGACTAATATACATCAGTATAATACTAATAACAGTAATATACATCAGTATACTCGTAATACTAATAACAGTAATGTAATTATTGTTACTCGTTACATTTAACTAGTAACATACAATACAGACATTTAATAAATGTTGTTAAATATTTCATGTTTACGGATCACGTTTGACATGAAATTGGTTTGCAATGCACGCTTGCCCGTGAAGTAATAGCAATACATGTGTGTATGTGAGCATGAGGTAAGACTTACATGTCGGCAATATCATTAATTCTTTGTAGTTTGAAATGGGATTGGTAAACAATGATTGCTGACGTCCTTGAAACTCAATGAATTCTGTTAAATGCGCCTATTCTACAAAGCAACGCATGTTCAAAAAAGGATAGGTCTTAATTAGTAACAATGACAAAGCATCAGACCAATATATTGAGGATTAAGTAATTTAAGTCGGCGATTAAAAGGTTGATAGATCTTCGAATTAAAATATTTAAAAAATCAATGTTGGGTATTCATTTAGACGCTATGAAAGCACAGACAGATACACAGACAAATAATGGGTACACATGGTTAAACTTGTAACACCCCTACTATTTGCGTCGGAGAATACAAATATCCTTGGCTATTTTTTTTTGTCATAGCACGAATGGATTTTAGCTGGTTTCTGACTTCTTTTGGAATTCTTTTCTCTGGAATTTGGAACTCTAAAAATGAAAAGCGTGTAATTGCAGCTTTCGTAGTTCTATTAGTACTGAAGCTGCTAAAATTTATTTTGTGACTGACAACCGCAATCCGTCGTTATATCCTAGATGTGACATGTTTGTTAATAAACAAAACATGTTTGTCGCTCTTCTTTTAATTTGGGCCATACGCCAAATTCTTATGCACACGCGATCTGTTCTAGTCCAAAGAACAGGAATGCGCACAGATGAAACGATATTGCACTAGTACCGATCAACATTCTCTCCATGGTACCGTCAATTTGAATACAAGAAAATTAAATACGCTTTACGACATATTAATATAAAATTACTAGCTGACCCGGCAAACGTTGTATTGCAAAACAAAAAAAAATTAGGGATGGGTCACCCTTACCATTTAGGGGTATGAAAAATAGATGTTGGCCGATTCTCAGACCTACCCGATGTACACACAAAATTTCATGAGAATCGGTCAAGCCGTTTCGGAGGAGTACGGGAACGAACATTGTGACACGAGAATTTTATTTAATAGATGTTGCTATCAAGGTTTGAAACACCGCTAAAATATATAAATATAATAAATACTTAATTCACGAAACTTCAGAAGAGACTTATCTAAGTAGAAACCACTTGGCTCACGAAAGTAGAATATATTATACACAATAGAGGAAGTTCATGAGTTGGACACATCAGACATGAACACAATTGGAAATTAGTTAAATTACACAAAAAGCCGTGTGGTGTCGTGGGACACCCGATAGGAACGAAGTTGTGACGATCGAGTAAAACTGATTTGACACGATTTTAATTACAACGCCATCTATGAAAGCGGCTATTACCTACATATTAAAAACAATTAAAACAATTTATACATTGGTAAAATCTCCTTGCGAAATGATTTCCTATCTATTCGATAGATGGCGCTGAATGTCTGACAAGATGACACGAAAATAAAGAGCAAAAAGCCAACATCACGTGGTATTCCCAGGCGGTCACCCATCCAAGTACTAACCACGCCCGATGTTGCTAAACTTCGGTGATCGGACGAGAACCGCTGTATTCAACATGGTATGGACGTTGGCGAACGTTAAAGCAAATTTAATGTATGGTATCCACAGTTAGACGTCAATTTATATTAATAAAAAAGTGTCGTTCCAAATTTTCGTTTGGAATTTTTTCGGTCTAGCCCCCTTTCACAACGCGCGATAAGGAACTTCGTTCCAAAAAATAATAAAATACTTATATAAATAAAGCAAACAAGGACACGGTCTTTCTATAGCGCTACTCATTTTTTTTCAATGATTGTACCGTGAAGGATAAAATGGTACCCTTCGTTGTTCTTAATTTAACTCTGTTTTCATATTTTTTTATGATTCAGCAATCTTTTTATTTATTCAATTAATGATCCCCGACTCACATCACATCATCACATCAACAGCCTAAAATAGTCCACTGCTGGACATAGGCCTCTCCTGAGAAAGGAGGTTTTGGCCTACTATACCACGCTGGCCAGACGGGTTGGTGTAGGGTTTGTGTCAAGTTTTTCTTCTCTTTGCAGTGCTCTTGTCCTGCGTAGTTTGCTCCCTTAGTCGGCTCCTAAGACACCCACGGGATGACTAGGGCTGGTGACATTCCGTATTCTTAATCCGTCACCACACCGATTCCCGACTAATAGTGCAGAATCTTCAGAGCGCGAGTCTTACTTGCTTACTTGTCCGTCCTCACTAATACTACTAAAACTTAATCAAATATAAGATAATTAATCAAATCTGACTTTTAGACTAATCGAATGCCGGATCCATTTGCTTTTACTCGTATGTGTATCTTATTTTCAATTGTAATACCTATTGCCCTCACGGCAATAGGCTATTGTTCTTAATAATTTTATACCGAAACCGTAACAAAACTTACCAAACGGCAAGCCACTTTTATTTTGTTTAGCTATAAAAAGTACCAACTAACAAATAACGAGCTGCAATATCGACGATTATTCAATTGTTTCAAATCGTTACCACAAACCACTATCGGAGAATTACAAAACAGTTGCATTTCTTAAATTTACGGTGTTACAGTTTTATTGGCATCGTCATGCGAAACTAATACATTTTGATATTGTGTGCTTTTTTACGATATAGGAGCAAAACGAGCAGACGGGTCACCTGATAGATAGTCACTAACGTGCCCATGAAAGCCTGTAGCTGTAGTCACAAGCGCGGTGCCAAACTTTTAGGTGGAGGTACATTGTTTTCTTAAAGGTTTAGTGGTCGTATCGATGTAGAAATACCGCAGGCGATAATTTGTTCCACAGATTGGTTGTGTGAGGCAAAAAGTATCCTGAAAAGCGCACAGTGAAGTGCCAATTATTCAAATGATGGGGATTTATGTTTTGCCGCATGTAACGATTTCGGTAGGTTGCGGCTGATATTAGCCTGAACAAGGTAAAATACTCAGAAATGGTCAGAATATTGAGTGCAAATACATGTTACTACACCTAATCGTGAGCGTTACAATCACACTGCAATATAAATTGTATTGACTCTATTGGGTAATTTTCCCTTTCACGAGTTTGTCATAAATCTAAGTAAAAAATATTTATAAGCACTGTTGTAGCTCAGTTGCTGGCAAAATAAAACATTACCAAGTACTACCAGCAACGGCTTCAATGAGTTCATGAACGTGGAAACCGTTACGAATAATAAATGAAGGAATGAATGAAAGTTACATCTGCAGTGTTGTGCTCCTTTAAGGTACCTCATATAATAAAATGCCGTATCAACTGCTTATTCACGTAAAGTATTTACATATGTTACGATATTTATATTGAATTTATACCAGTTATTCCGGTATAAATATGATAACGGTGCTGCTGACCTTGTGAACTGGTGCCATTATAGCCGGCTTTGTTACAATTTAGGTTTAAGTTTGGATGTATGAATAGAATATGAAAAAAAAACGTACGGAAGCTTTGAGAGACGTTATAGGATACGGAATATTATTAAGTTGATTTTTAATAAAATGTAACCGCGCAAAAACCAAAGGGGCATAGCGTTCCACAACCGATCAACTTGAACTTTGAATTTCATATCAGTAAACTTAGTAGAATGTTATTTAATAAATAATTATAGGTGTTGTTTATTACTAGTATTATGTCAACTTGTTGATAACAGAAAGGATTCAGCGAAGTAGGCGTTTATATGGTATATACTGTATTGTAGAAATTCTTAACGATTGCTAATATTTTGATACATATTACTTAAATTATATAAGTAACCAGCTATACCCAGCCATCGCTGTTGCACATTGAGGTTGATTTTTTTTAGATAAAAACCATTTTTGAAGCGTGTTATATATCGTGTCAAAATTTAAACTCAATCGGTGCGCAACTTTTTGAGTTTTTGAAGCGTACACAAACCAACATAACATTTTTATGTAAATAGATAAATGACTATTATCTAGACATAACGCCTTTGCAGTCCTTTACCGACCTGAAATACATAAAAATTGAAACTCACTTACCAAATAGCAGTCTATAGGCTTCTCTTTTGGCCTGTGATAAGCCTTCTGGAGTTCTGTCTGTTTGAGCGCATGCGCGATATGCAACGCGCTCACGTCGAAGCGCCCATATTGGTAGTCCGGAGTGTTCCGCGATAATTCACGCGCAGGCGATGCGTGTGCGCTGCCGCCGTTCGTCGTACGCATCGGAGACACTGCCGACAATACTGTTAAATGTTATTGCAAATAGTTAATAAATACGTTCTTCACTTTTTTATGGTATAAGAGGCAAGGAACAGGCGGGTCACCTGACGTGAAGTGACTACCGCCACCCATAGGCACTGACTACTCAAGAGACATAAGTGCACCGACGCGCGACCGGAATTAGGAGGTTCGGGCTCTAGTAACCACACATACTCAGTGTAAAATAAAGAAAGAATTAATTAATTAACACCGATTTTCTGTGACGCTGTGGTATTACCCCGGTCTAGCCGGCCCGTATCTTTCGAAGCATAACTCTCCCATGGTGTTTGCTTCTTGTATGACAGCTTAATATGAATCTAACTAATTGAACTGGTATCGAAAATATTAGTAATAAACTAAAGAATGTTATACCACAAGCACAATTGACCAGTAGTACTATACTGGTCAAGTCAGATAAATACAGATTGATCATTGTTTCTTTCTTCGAAATTATACTTCACAACAGTAGAAGCCGAATTAATATTTATAAACACATTCATTTCATTCATTCTCATTATGCTACATCAACGGGTTAATTCTGAATGAGCTTTGTATAAGACTTGGAAATAGGAAAACTTTTAGATATGTTTGCGTGGAAGGTTATAAAACGCATGTAAGCTTTATTTTCTTGCTGAGTTAAAGCGACTAGATTCAGGCATGGTGTATGTATAGAATACCAGTAAAAAGGAAATAAAATAAAACTAATAATTTCTACTGATCCCTTTTTGTTTTCATTTTAAAATAGCAGCTGAAATTGCGGTTAAAAAGGTACATCACCATGAGTGGAGAAAGTTTTAAGGTGAACCCATATTTGTTTTGTTTTTTCTATCTTTTGTGATGGAATAGGAAACTAATTTAATTTTAAATATACAAGCCCAAGTTCATGCTAACGGAAAATGGCATAAATCGTGTAGTATGTTAGTGATTAACTCTTTCTTACGCACAGTCGCTCGTGTGTATCGAGCCGGCGATGGTCCATCGTTACTCTAACTGGATCTGTGTACGTATGTAGTACGAGTAATGGGTACATGATTAAAAATTAGCAACAACAATGATTATAACATGGACATTTAATATATCATATTTCTGTGTGTTTCTACTTAAGAAGCTTACTTTCTTTTATTTATTGAAAGAAATACAAATACTGGTAGTAGGTGGTAGGTAATGTGAGTAATGTGTGTAAAAAAGGAAAGCATTTCCAAAAGTTCTTATGCGATTTACAGGCTACAATTTAATTCCTGACGGCCCTTAACTGTTACAAAATATTAGTTACATTTTAGGATATATACTCCAAGAATCGATATATCCTTTCATTCTCAATTCCTTCTATTCTATGCTAATTTAATGAGGGAAGGGTCGAAATCTGTATCTGTATGAGATAACGAAACCACTGCAATAATTCATAAATACTATTTTTCTCTGGATACATTATTCTAGATTTTAATTGACATGATATACTGTATTTAATACATTTAATACCATTAAATCTGGACATGTTGAGCCTGCTAGTTATAAATAAACAACTACAAGCAACGCAGCATGAAGAAATTAAACTTATTTTAAATTCTTTGACAGAAGGAAATTTTTAATCATTGACAACTTGGCATTATTTAATGTAAATTTTTACACGTAATATGTCCTAAGAAATTGGATATGGCCTGTATGTTGCATATATTTTAATATTATATTAGGTAATATTTCAAATTGTAGAAATTGGAGTTCTTTGTTTGATAGGTTTATACGTTTTAACTGCTCAAACGATTATCATGATATTTTACGATATTTTTTTATGGAAGAGAGGCAAACAAACTTTCACCCTGATATGCAAAAAAAAAAATGTTAGAACGATAAAACTCAACCTAAAACTTAAGGTAATCACTCAAATAAACGTTTCTGCGTGCTTTTAAGAGTTCTGTAAGGCTAATCATCATTAGTATATATTTTTTTAAGGAGTGTGGTAGTTTAAATGATAGTGTGGTTGTTACACTATTATTGTAGTTGTTGTACTTAGAAAAGGTTAGTTTGGGATCAGACAGCCAACAGCCAGACAGGCCAATGTATGGGGTATTATAAAAGGTTGTTAACTTTTAAAAAAAACATGACCGTCTTCAATGCGCCAACTGTATTTATTGGCCCTTAGTTTTCCATCTCTAGTGTGGTATTATTTTATCAAATTTCAATTGTGGTCAAACAGATAGTATACCCTTCTAAATAAAAAAAAAATCCAATGTGGTTCATAAATTATAATAATAATAATGAATACCACATTCACATAACACCATCTAATCCCAAACTAGGCAGAGCTTGTACTATGGGTACCAGAAAACTGATATTAATACATATCATATGTTTTTTTTTAAATAAAACATACATATTACACATAAAAACACCCATTCCAAATCAGGAATTAAACACTCATGCCCACAAATGTTTGACTTGAGCGGGAATCGAACCCGCGACCTTTCTAATAGCAGTCCGTTACACTAACTACTACGACATCCGGCCGTCAAAACTACAAAGTTCCGAGTTATTTCGTCACCGAATTGAGAACCTTTTAATTTTATTAAAGTCGGTTACAAACAAACAACAGTTCGTATTAAAGTTAATCAGGGACATAATCAGATAACTAAAGTATCATCATCACACATCAACAGCCTCTAATAGTCCACTGCTGGACATATACCTCTCCTTAGAAAGGAGGTTTTGGCCTAACTAAAGTATAGTGATTATTTATTCTCACAGTCGTTCATTCATGATTGTAATAATGATTATAGTCAAGGTGGACGAGGAATCAAGCATTCTCAACGTGTAACAAATAAGGTGGGTATTTAATTAATATAATATGTATTCCTCCTACCTTATTATAAATTACAGAAAATATCTCTATGTTTGCTCCGTATATTTAAAGTTAGTAGAAACAATAAACAGCATAGGTAAGAAATTGGGCGATTATCTGTGTGCCTTTACTTAAATAGACCTTTTAAATTAAATCTTCCTTTAAAACATCTGATTAGAGCCACGGTATTAATTGCTCTATTATTTTTTTCTTGTGGTAATTAGGACATACGGTATAAAATTAGGCTTTTGATACCAAGTTTTATTAGGTCGTGTAGTCCTGATCGCTCTTATAGTTAGTAGATCTAAACGAAAACTAGGCAAGACATGTACCATCGCAACCAGACTGCTGATTAACATACTTATAAATTTCAAAATACATGCTAATTGTAGACAATTACACCTAGACACAGAACAAATATGCTCATATATACTCATCGCACAATTATTTGTCCTGGGTGGGAATCGAATCCAAGACCCAAGACCTTAGCAGTCAGGGTCACTAACCGCCCTTTAGCTTTAGCGACGTTATAGTAAGAACATTTTAGACGACCAGATGTTTTATGAGTTTATAAAACTCTTCCTTTGAATAAAAGCCTTTTATCATCAGCATCATCAATAGCCTTAATTTGTCCACTGCTGGACATAGCCTATAAAAGCCTTTAACTAAGTATAAATTTATTGAAAGGCGCACCTAAGAGAGTTATTTCATATTACTTCAAATATTTCCATATTAATCCTTGTTATATCACACGTAATCGTTTAATGAAAAGTCAACTCTAACGTATGGTGTTAAAAGTCAAAATTTAATTGATCGACATGGTTACGTTGGAATGGTGTCAATGAACTGGCATACGCCATAAGTTACACACCACTACTGGCCGGTTGTAGGTAAGCCGGTAAAAATGCGCGAACAAAAACTAGGTAAAACTCTTTAAACAAATTCTTCAGAACGTTCTTTATTCAAATTGTGTTTATATGACCCCAATTTTTGTTTTTGGAAACTGTGCTTTGTACTTTTGTAATAGATCGCAGTTGCACTGTTTATGGTCACTCTAACACTCCTGAAGTTTGCGTTACATTAAATAGCACGTAATCTTTCTCGAGAATAGGGCTATCGCATGAAGGAGGAATTCTTCAAATTCGACTACAAAGATTAGTGTGCTCAACCAAAATTATTAGACGTAACAAATGATTTGAAATTATGATTTCAAATAATTTGTTACGTCTTAATGTTATAAATACGCTCAATTAAAAGTCAAATATACAGATGCACAAATAAATGACTAAAGTTGTCCAATATTTATTTACAAATCTACTTAGTCCTAATTTTTGAATTTTATGTATCACGGAAGCCATATACAATGCCTTTTATGGCTTCCGGAACATAAAAAAATATCTTTGACATTTTGTAATGTACCTACCTATTTTTTAACTGAACGTTTCAATTTTATGATCATACTAATACAAGCAATAATGTTATGATGAGTGTCTGTGTGTAATTTATCTACAATATATTTAGAAAATTATGTTTATCAGCAGTCTGGTTACCATAGTGCAGGCTCTGTTATTATATCTGTATACACTGTGGAAGTGGGAATGAGTGGTGAGTACGTATATCTCGTCTTAGGTCGACTAGTATCACAAGGTTGCAACGTATTTGACAATAATTGTAATGTCAAAGGCTTACTGAGTCAATAGGTGTTTGTTTACAATATGGTCAGGGCTGCCAATTCGTTTTACGGATTTGTGTTGTGATGAACACAATACGAGACAAAGAAGGTGAAGGTCTGCTGAGTAAGTTCCTTTTATTATACTTGAGGTTAAACGTTTTAGTGACAGAAATAATTTCGTTAGTTCTCACTTACACTTACTTCACTTGTTATCATTAAAAAAGAAATCCCGCATTCAAATGTGAGTAAAAAAAGAGGTTTATAGTGCTTTTTGTAGATTAGAAAAAATTAAAAGTTTCACGAAAAAATCATGATATACAACGAATTTGTAAACCTCATGGCAAATAATTTGTGTAAATTTTTGATGAAGCCGTCTTATTAGTGTAACAGAGTATTAATTATATCTATACTAATATTATAAAGCTGAAGAGTTTGTTTGTTTGTTTGTTTGAACGCGCTAATCTCAGGAACTACTG